GCCCCCCTGCCATATATGGCCTTGTACGTAAGAGGTGATGAACAGGTGGGGCTTTCCTTCCTTCTTTTCCTTTCCTTGTTTTGCTTTTTTCCGCCTTCGCGCTCTGATTTACAGTGTGACAATATATATGTCTTTTCTTTGATTGGATCCCTTTCTCTTTCTCTTGCGTCTGTGAGGTCTGGTTTCCTCCTCCTTTTCTTTACCTCTTTGCCTTTTGGCTAAGTGCAAGTGGGTCCTTGTGACACACGGGGATGGGGGGCAGCCAGCGTTCAACCTGTCATCCACGTGGCTGGCCCTGTACGTAAGAGGTGATGAACAGGTGGGGCTTTCCTTCCTTCCTTCTTTTCCTTTCCTTGTTTTGCTTTTTTTCGCCTTCGCGCTCTGATTCACAGTGTGACAATATATATCCCTGCCAGATTCTCTCTCCCCCTTCCCTACACGATCTGATTCTTTTGAGGGTATTCTTTTTTTTCGTTTTTTTTTCCTGTCTCGCTGTTCATCTGTACAGCCCTGAGAGAATCATTTGCAATCTCTCTCGCGTGCCCTTTTGCCGTTCCTTCGTATTTATTTTGTCGATGATGATTGGATGGAGTTTCACCTAATAATTTTGGGTTTCGCTGACTGAACGATTCGTTTTGCAAGCAGTTTGAGCACGTCCTATGTGTCAATCATTTGTTTTCGCATGATTGATTGATTGATTGATTGATTGATTGCTTGGTTGATTGATTGATTGATTGATTGATTGATTGATTGATTGATTGATTGCACACGTTTTGGGACGTTAAAAAAAAAGAAGAAAACGACACATTGTAGGAAGCTCGGGAAGAAAAAGAAAAAGAAGACGTTTCAGGACGTGGAAAAAAAAGAAGAAAGAGGACATTGTAGGACGTTCAGGAAAAAAAAATAGAAAAGAAAAAGAAGACGTTGTAGGATGGTGAAAAAAAAAGAAAAGAGAAAGAAGACTTTGTAGGATGGTGAAAAAAAAAGAAGGAAAAGAAGACGTTTTAGGACGGGCAATCCGGATAAGAGAAAAAGGTTGCAGATTGACATTCGACTTCTCCCCCTCCCCCCCCCCCCCCCCCCCCCCCCTCTACCCCCTTGCAATTTGCCTGGACCCCTCATAGCCAACGCACAATTTAACCTTTACCGATCCCGGGCCAATCTGAGCACGGAATGGGCTGCAAAAGGATGAGAGAATGGGAAAAAAAAAGAAAAGAAAAAGGATACGAAGACGCGAAACGTCATACAGCTGCAGCACTTTCCATCTTCATATGCATAGATCGAAAAATCATCCAATCAATACTTTCCCCGAACATGACGCATATGCGTTGTAACGAATACAACGCCTAGGTTGCTTTCAATTGGAATACAACGCATGTGCGTTCTATTCGAACGAGCCTTATTTTCGAATACAACGCATGTGCGTTCTAGTCGAACAAGCCTTATTTTCGAATACAATGCTTGTGCGTTCTATTCGAATTTTCGAAGTTTTGAAAAACTCGAATGTTCGGGAGAAGACAGTCGAGCCACTCGCCTTAGGAACTATATCCTTTTGTGAAATTAAATTATATCCTTAATTGAAATTAAATTATATCCTTAATTGAAATTAAATTATATCCTTAATTGAAATTAAATTATATCCTCAATTGAAATTAAATTGGGTGAGTATTGGCGTATTAGCATGAAATCAATCATGCTCACATATTAAAAAAAAAAAAAGGAAAAAGAAAAAAAATCAATCATGCTCTCCTCTTTTGAGTCAGTCGGTACGAGGTCTACGG